GCCTCTGGGAGCACACGAGACCACTAGACCCCTTGTTTCCCGGTGCCCCTCCCCTGCATCTGGCATTTTGAAGTACTTTCCTTCAAAGCCTGGAGATGGTTCATTCTCATCATGGCTGGTCACCTGCAATGGACTTTTCCTCCAGGAATCTTTCCAATCCCCCTTTTCAAGGCATCTAGGCCAGATGCCATCACCACTTCCTGTGGCGAGGAGTTCCACAGACTAACAACATGCTGGGTCAAGATATTTTCTTTGGTCTGTTCTCCCTCTCCCAACACTCCATTGGAGTGGAGGTCCCCCGGTTCTTGTCTTGCGTGAGAGCTTCCCTCTATCCACTTTATCCATCCCCTGCATAATTTTATACATCTCAATCATGCCCCCCCGGTGCCTTTTCTCTAGATTCAGGAGCCCGAAACACTGTCACCTTTCCTCGTCAGGGAGGTGCCCCAGCCCACTCATCCTTTGAGTTGCTCTCTTCTGCAACTTTTCCCGTTCCACGATGTCTCTTTTGAGGTTTGGCGACCAGAACTGTACACAATACTCCAGGTGCGGCCTTACCACCGCTTTGTACAATGACATTATAATGTTGGCTGTTTTATTTCTCAATCCATTCCCTTTTTAATGATCCCTCGCATGGAATTGGCCTTCTTCACTGCCGCTGCACCCTGGGTTGACCCTTTCATCGAGCTCTCCACCAGCACACCGAGATCTCATATTCCAGAGGTTGAACTTTCCAGCCACCACTAGGCCTTCAAGAGAAAATTGGGACCACTGCCTGTCCGATCTGCTTTGGATTCCTGCACCAAGCAAGGGAGGGGGTTGGACTGGATGGCCTTTGAGGGCCCCTTCGAACTCTGCTGTGCCCTGATTTCTTATTCTTGCTGTGTCCAATCATCGTATGGCCCCTCGTGTATCTCCTTGCACTGCTGGTTCTGGCGTTTTGCCGGAGACCATCCCCTCCAAATCCTTCTCCGTATTTAGGGGATTGTGAAGTTGGACTTAAAAGTGGCACCACTGACTTCATTCGAACTCGACTCCGTTCCCCCCCAATGACTGGGACTTGACTTGCAACTAGGAATCCAGCCACTCCTCCCTTTTTTTCTGGAGAAAAGCTTATTTTTAACAGGGAGTTGGGACTTGGTACCATCAGAGTCGAGACTTGAACTCAAGACTTGCCAGCATCCCCGATTTTATTCCTTTGTCACTTTCCTCCCAGCGATGGGGCCTGAGAATGGGTCAAGGAGGAGCCTTCGAATTCCCTTCACTCAATCCTTCCAAGTATGCATGCAACCTTAACTTGTGTACATCCATGTAAACAACACACAAATATTAAATATTATATACACAAACAATACTTATACACACTGGAGTTGCTACAACTCGTACGTTGGGTCTCTGGTTTCACAGTTGGGTTTGGTCCCAGTGCTTTCCCTGTTCGAACCCTGCTGAAACCCGAGTGGGTTCACGACACAGGATCTCAAGGGACTCGGTGAATACTCCTGCGAATCTCCCATTCGGTTTTTGGTGGAATTCACAGAACACTTTTTTTCTTTGTCCTCCATCATGAAACAGATAGCAGGGCTGCGACCTCCTTGAAATCTGCCGAGGAAAACGGTTGGGATGGATTTTGCCTTCTCCCTCTGTTCCAGTCCAAAGGATGACCCCCACACAACACATCACAGGTCGTCCCCGCCGTGGCGACTCCGTCACCTTTGCTCCTTCGGAGGTCTTGGGCCAACATGGTGGACCTCGTGGTGGTTCTCCTCTCCGTCTTCGCAACACGCCTTTGTCACACTTTCCACCTGAAAGAGTCCCAGATAACGGACATTTTAACACCAAGCAGGAGACTCTAAGCTGGGTTTGCATGGTAGGTTCCCCCTTATCCGCAGGATCGGTATCCACTGATTCACTTATCCGCTGTCTGAAAATACTAAAAGAAGAATCCCCCAATATATATTATTAATGGTGAAGTTGCCAGAACTGGCCACTAGACAGAGACCGAGACCATGCTGCCTATAGCATTTGCTATTATAATAGTGTTTGTTATAGTCCATGTTTGCGAGGGGAGGCTTGGAACCCATCTTCCATGGATATGGCGGGGTCCTACTATATACGCACACGATTTCCATACATTTGTGAAAGGAGACCGTGAAATAATCCATGGCAGGCGTAAGTGGGCACAAATCCTTAAAACACCACCATACTTTCTGCTACTACTCTGTGAAGGAGAAGGAACTTTTGCTTCACCCCGTAAGTCAAAGTGAATTTCCTGGAATGCCCCTCTTCTTTGATGGCATTTTAACAGATACGCCGCCCATCATTTGTATTATTAGTTTTATTCATAGGCCGCATTTCTCCCAACAAGGGACCCAAAGTGGCTCACAACATTAAAATTCATGCCATTTAAAAGCACCTTAAGTTAAATCTTAAAAGATTAAATTAAACGATATATGATTTATAATAAAATGAAAAGATGAAAACATGGGAAAGATAAAAAATTATCTGTTAAAACGGGGTTCAGGGATTCAGTTATAATTGTTAAAAGCCTGCGTGAAGAGATGGGTCTTTAGCTTTTTTCAGAAGGATAACAGGGGAGGGGCCCTCCTGATCTCCCGAGGGGGAGCATTCCATCGCCTGGGAGCTGCCCCCGAGAAGGCCCTCCTCTCCCGTGTCCCCATCAGCTGGGCTTGGGCTGGCAATGGGACCGAGAGGGCACGTCCTACTCTGCTGATCTTAATCACTGAGAAGGCGCCTATAGGGAGATACGGTCCTTCAGGTAGCCTGGACCCAAGCTGTAGAGGGCTTTATAGGTAATGGCCAGCACTTTGAATTGGGGCCGGAAATGGACTGGTAGCCAGTGCAGTTCTTGTGACAGGGGCATTATAGGCTCCCTGTAGCTGGCCCCGGTCAATCGTCTGGCTGCAGAGTTTTGCACCAGCTGAAGTTTCTGAACCGTCTTCAAAGGCAGCCCCACATAGAGCGCATTACAGTAATCCAAACGGGATGTAATTAAGGCATGTGTCACTGTAGCCAGATCCGACATCTCAAGGAACGGGTGCAGCTGGCACACCAGCTTTAGGTGTGCAAACGCACTCCTGGGCACCGACGAGACTTGGGCATCCAAGCTTAGGGATGAATCCAGGAGTACAACCAAGCTTATGGACCTGAGTTTTCAGGGGGAGCGTCACCCTGTTCCAGCACAGGTAGTATCCCTACGCCCTCATCTGCCTTCCGACCGACCAGGAGCACCTCTGTCTTGTCTGGATTAAGTTTCAGTTTGTTTGCCCTCATCCAGCCCATGACTGAGGCCAAGCACTGGTTTAGAGTCAAGACAGCTTCCCTGGAAAATCGAGCTGCCTAATTTCTAAGCAGGACAGGAAAAATAAAAGTACTGCAAATGAATGAAGGGGGTAGAATTTCCACAGTGTTTGGTTTTGGGAGGCAGATCCATCCGATCACGCCTGAACTCTCGCTAGGGGCACAAACGATGAAACTGGCACTATGGTCTGTGGGTCACCTCATGAGAAGACAGGACTTGCTGGAAAAGACAGTCATGCTGGGAAAATCTGAAGGCAGCAGGAGAAGAGGAAAGCGGAGCATGAGATGGACGGATTCGATAAAGGAAGCCATTGGCCTTGAGTTCGCAAGACACATCGGCTGGCTTATCATTGATAGAATCTTCCTGAGGTTAATCATTCATGGGGTCGCCGTAAATCAAAAGCGACAGAAGGGTATAGAACAAGACTATTTCTCGGCTCACCTTTTCCTTGCTTTCGCTCCCAAATGCCAAACGGATCTCGAAGAGAAGACTCTGGCACTCCTCCGCCACATCCCGTTTTTCTTCCGATACGGTGTGTTTTTATTATTCACTGGAGAAGGATGATGCTCTCCGGAGGGGGGGGGTCTTCTTCACCTCACTTTGTGGGTTCTTCTTCCTTGGCGCCCTCCTCTCTCGAATCTTGCACCCTCTGGCCCGTGGCAGGCAAAGGGGTCCGAGAGAGAGAGAGAGTTCAGGAGAGAAGGGAGTCCACACGGAGAGGCTCGCATGTTGTCGTTCTCAACCCTGGCCAGGAAAAACAGGAAATCCCAGCCAGGGCTGCAGCAGAAGTTAATTTCCCAGAATTATTTTTCCCCCCAGGGTTTCTCACCAAAAGAGAAGGGGTGCGATTCACAATCCTGACACAGGCTGCTGCCTTGATTTTCAGCCGGGCTCCTAAGAGAGAAGGGGTGCGATTCACAATCCTGACACAGGCTGCTGCCTTGCTTTTCAGCCGGGCTCCTAAGAACTGCCGTCCCCGTCTCCGTTTGCACTGGCTTGATGATGCGCCAAACTGGTGGGAGCGGCATGGTGGATCCGTAACATGGGAGCCCCTTCCCCAGAGGGCTCTGGATCGTCCAGGGGGCTGAACGAAGAGCCTTCTTCTCTGGAGGTCACAGGGGCCATGGGGATGCTTTCTTTGGTATGGGGACCCACAACCGTTCTGAAGAGGAAGAAAAAGAAGAAGGAGAACTCGCATAAAAGTTCAAGGCGACATACCAGAAGAACGGCTTAATGAAAATTTCAACATCTAAGGATTACTTATAAGGCAAGTCCTTTGTCTCCAGACAAGAACAGGAGGACGAGCCTGGAGTAAGGACCCCTGTCTCTGTTGGGGATTCGTTCCAAGCCCGCGCCTGGTGGATGCTGAAAAATGCAGATTATAGCAAACTATTATACAGTGGTGCCTCGCTTAACGATTGCCTTGTTAAACAACGAAACAGCCTGACGATGAAGTTTTTGCGAATGCAAAACAATGTTCCTATGGGGAAAATTCGCTTAACGATGATCGGTTCCCTGCTTCGGGAACCGATTTTTCGCTAACCGACAATTGAGAAACAGCTGATTGGCGGTTCTAAAATGGCTGCCCGCTGTGCAAAATGGCTCCTCGCTGTGTTTTCAGGACAGATTCCTCACTTTACAGGCAGTGAAAATAGCCGCCCCTATGGAGGATCTTCGCTGGACGGTGAATTTTCAGCCCATTGGAACATATTGAACTGGTTTCAATGCATTTCAATGGGCTTTTTTGTTTCACAAGATGATGTTTTCGTAAGACAGCAATTTTCGCGGAACGAATTAACATCATCTTGCAAGGCACCACTGTAATTCCAAACACAGCATGCTCTCTGCCTCCCTCTAATGGCCAGTTCTGGTAGACAAAGAGGGATTTGTATGTATTTCTAGTATTTTTCTTTCAATGTTTCTAATATTATCAGACGGTGAGTAAGTGAATCAGAGAATAATGATCTGGTGGGTACCGGGGTCCTACTGTCCTGGCAAAAAGATTCTGGACTACAAGTCCCATTGGCCACACCAATGACAGCCAGTGATGAAGAGTGATGGGAACTATTGTACAAAATAACTTGGAAGGCTGCAAGGTTGGAGGTAGGAGGACCGAAAACTGTAATTCTTTCCTCATGCAGCTTCCTTTGATACGAAGCAAAACAAAGCAAAACTCACCCTCGTTTTCTTCTGTAGAGGCACCACAACAGGGAGCATATTACGATGAATCCGACTGGTAATAAAGAAGACAAATAAAAGTTCATAAATAGACGTACAAGTCTCTACATTTCCATCTCTCTTGCCCTCAGGTTTGACCCAGTTAACTTGCCACACTTAAGAGAAATGTTGCTGTTTACTGGGAGAGGACCAGCAACGGAATGCTTACAAACAGTGCAACTTTCCCAGAGAAAGTGCGAGTTCCCCATGGAAAAACCCTCTTATGGAGTCCAGTCTCAGAGGCTTCAAGAGGCTTGGAAAATTCATGAGGGAAAAATCTCAGGCTGCTTGGAAGGATGTCTTGTTACCCCGAGATACCCACTAACAGTCTAGAAAAGCGACAGACGCTGCTGCCAGAGGGAATCTCAGCGCCACAGCCCACAAAACAGCTTTTCCAAGTTCTGGAACCCATACATAGAAAGAATAATGTGTTACCTAGAGCAGGGAATCCAATACTGAAGTAAAGGAAATCTATAAAAAGAAAAGGAAGGAACATTTTATATGTTAAAATCCATGGGTGGTGCATTGATTTGTACACTTCAGTTTAGCCTTATTCTGTCATCTAGAACAGCTGCAAACATCTGGCACGCTTCATACATGTGGGGATTGCAACGCGTCAGTCCCATCGGAGGAAAAAAAATGTTCCTAGGCTTCTTGGCTAAAGAATAGCTCTGAGGGAAGTGGAGAAATCAAGTCTCAAAGACAAAGAGGGATTTGGGGCTGTGGAAGCTGGGAGTGGTTCAAGATCTGTTTATAATCATTTATAGGACAAATTACCCCCCCTCCAAAATAAACAAAAGTAGAATTGTGCAAAACAAGCCAAGGCAAATGCATTTCAGTTCATCTTTCACTTGGCACCAGATGTCAGCTTTCCTTGAAGTAGAATGTATTTTTGGGGGGGGGGGTTCAAAACAATAAAAACAAACTTTTACTACTGCTGCCTGCCTCTGCCCCTCAATCTAGCGACTGGAGGAATATTTATTTATTTATTTGTTTTATTCCATTTATACCCCACCTAGCTGGTCAATTGTGATCACTCTAGGCAGCTTACAACACAAAATACAAAATACAAAGCACAAAAACCATATGAAAAAGGAATTTTTACACAATTTAAAAATTCTATTAGATGGAAAGCAAACAAAATAAACCATAATAGAGAAAGCAAGGGAGAGAGTCAGGGATTAGGGTTAGGAACTCTGGTGAATTCTTTTTTAGTTTGCAGAGCATAGAGTACAAGAACACAAACTGCTGTAGCACAGGGAAAACATGGTGAATAGCTAAAACTCCCACCTTCTAGCCAGCTCATTTGTTTTCACAATGAAACTCATCCTTTGCATATAAACATTGCTCTACAAGCAGCTTCAGTGGAAAATGAAAAGAAAAATATTTACTTACAGCTGATCTTCAGTTACAATCAGAAGAGTAAAAGGATAAAAAAAGGGGGGGGATGGATTTCTCAACCATATGAAAGAGGGAGAAATCCATGTGACTGCATGGCCTGAAGGTCAGGAAACAGAGAGAAACATGTCTGCTCTGGCTGAAGGTCAGAGAAGAAGAGAGAGCAAAACAAATGAGGCAACTGGAAGCAAAAGAGACAGGAAGAAGGGGCGGGGCTTGCCTCAAGCCCAGGAAAAAGGACTTTGGTAATTGGTTAGTGGCAGAAGATGGTCACCTTTTTTGTGTGTGCAAAAAGCTCCTTCCTCCCAAGGAAAACCAGTGCCAGACTGCAGGCAAGATTGTTAATTTCTGGAACAAAATGTTCCAAACAGAGCATTTTTCACTGCAAGACCAAAAGCACACATTCAGACAAGAAGCTTGCGCCCTGTTTTTGGCCAGGAAGGTGTCCTATTCGAGAGGCCCAGCAGCCACAACCTCCAGAATGTGAGGAACAACACTGGCCACTGTCCCCCCACTCCTCACGGAAGCTATACGAACTTCCCCAGAACAAGAGAGTGGATCATGGGACAGATTGCGGGCTGGAAAGTCTGGATGTTATTTTTGTTCTTAGCATTTAAGGGGGTCAGGCTGGTTGCTTGTCCGCTGTGTCCATGTATGATTGTGGAAAGGTCTAACACAGATAAAGTGCTGCTAATACATTAGTATTAATGAAACATTTGTGTTCTTGGTAAACTAGTGATCTACAGTTGCCGTTTAGTAACAATATGCATTTGTGTTTTGTATTGTTCAGAGTCTGGGAGCTTCCTGTTCCTGCCCCAGTGCTACCTGGGAGCTTTCTTTCGAAACAGGAAGCTAGGCCGAGCTCCGCCTCAGAGACTTCCTGTTAAGGCCCTTCTCCCGGGTGAGCCATATTTAGGTGTCCGTTTGTCTGGCAGATCTCCCAGAATGGAGAGTCATGGGGTCTGCAGTCCAAGAAATTAAGAAAAATTCCCACCCCTCTCTGTTGCTGTTAGCGGCTGGGTGCTTTTAGAGCCAGAAATTTAGATACTAGAATAATTCTCTAGGTCACAGTCCTTCTTTCTGTACAGTGGTACCTCGCTTAACAACGATAATCCGTTCCAGGAAAATCGCCGTTAAGCGAAAACATCGTAAAGTGAAAACAAAAACCCCATTGAAATGCATTGAAATCCGTTCAATGTGTTCCAATGGGGTAAAAACTCACTGTCCAGCGAAGATCCTCCATACGGTGGCCATTTTTGCTGCCTGTATAGCGAGGAATCCGTCCCTAAACACAGCGGGGAACCATTTTATTCCCCCGGCGGCCATTTTGAAACCGCCGATCAGCTGTTTGAAAAACGTCGTTTTGCGAAGAATCGGTTCCCGAAGCAGGGAACCGATCATCGCAAAGCGAAATTCCCCCATTCAGACCATTGTTTTGCGATCACAATTGTGATTGCAAAAAGATCGTCGTTAAGCGGTTTCGTCATAATGCAAGGCAATCGTAAAGTGAGGCACCACTGTATTTCACATTGGCCGCTACTTACGCTAAACTTCTTTCATTTGAACAGTATCACTGAAGGAGGGAAACAAGAGTCAGGTCCTTGGCTCAGTGCTCAACCCAGAGGGATCGAGAAACATCACGTAGCAAATCACTCAGATTTGTGGGTCCGAGTCAGGTCCCATCTGACTTCCGGTGATCCTAAGAGGATCTTTAAGGACTGTTGGAAGTCCAAGGAGTGGTTTCATATGGCCAAACCGCCGTTGTGAATTTCCGTGACTGAGTCGAGATTTGAACCCAGCTCTTCCTGAATCCTAGTCCGGCATTCTTTCCACTACATTGCCGCCCAGAGTAGACACTCTGTCTAGATGGGCGGGGCATAAATCTAATAAAATAAATAATAAATAAATCACGCCAGCTTTTGTCTTGCTCTGAACATCGCCGGCCGATTCCACATGGTCAAGAACTGTCCAGAGGAATCATCCAGATTTTGTCACAAAGCATCATTCCCCAAATCTAGCTGAAGACACGGTTAGGCAGACGCGTTGAAAGAAGGCGGTAGCTACGGGCAGATTAATTGCCAGCTGTGCCCCCTCCAGGGAGTGGCAGGGTGACCAACCTTTTCGGCTCTCCGGACCGGCTGGGTCGGATGCCCGAGTCGTATTTCCCTCGGTTCCCTCGGAGGGGACGACGGTCGGGCTACTTCCTGCCGTGAGGGTCTTGCTAGTCCTGGCTCGTGAGACTGGGGTGGCGCTTCCGTGGGACGGGGTTACCCTTTCCGTGGCCTCGCCAGGAGGAGTCCCCTCGCCATCTTCTGCAAAGCCTGCTGTCGCCGCGGTCGGCCTCGAGGTCACGCCAGCGGTGCCCGGAGGTGACGGGGAAGGGTCAGTCCTGCTTCCGTACGGATGTGCGGATGTCACTGACGGGTCCACCCCTGCAGCCTCTGGACTGTTGGGTGTGGAAGCTTCTGTTTCTATAACATGGGGAAGTACAGTGTCTTAGCCCTTCCGGATTACTACAAGCCATGATCTAAGGTGCGGCCCTTGGAGACGAGCCAGAAGATTCATCAAGAGCAACACACAGCAGCCACGCAGAACCCAGCGGCCCCGATTCCGGAAGAGCCCTGCCGACAGCCTGCTCAGCTTCTGAGCCCCATTTAAAAAGAGTTACTTTTCAAGCTCTACTCTCAACGCTCATGCAGGACTACAGCTCCCACAATCCCTTAGAGATGGATGGAGAGGCGGGACAGGAAGGGACCCATAAGTATTGGGTGTCAACTCTGCAGAGAAGGGACAAATTGCTTTTGTGAACTACAATTCCCAGAATATTTACTTTTGGGGGGGTTGGGAATTGTCGTTCTGGTGCTACCTTTTCCCCGTGTTGGCTACAATGGGAGATTTTTCTCCCCCACGTGCAGTTTGGTTGTGCAGAAGGCGCACAATGTTCAGTGTACCAAGGCACTCCTTGTGGGTTGCTTTCTAATCAACTTAACAAAAACACAACCCAAATTTAAATTTTAAAAAGTCCCAACAAGTTTACGGATTCGACATGGAGAGGTGATTTTGCCTCACCCAATGCAACTTGCTGAAACAATAAAAAATAAATAATATTTCTAACAATATATCATGCCCTTTTTTTGTTCCAATCACGACCCTTCTTAGCCAAAGCCACACTCTCTGCTTGTCTCATCAAGTTTGTCCCGTTCCAGTCAGAATTAATATCTCTACCTCAAACAGACTGCAATTCCCAAGAGGTAAAATAGAGACAGTCAGATAAAACAAAGGAAGCTCATTCACATACCTATTTGGTCGATCTAGATCAAAGCTTTGGGTCCCCAGATGTTCTTGGACTTGTACCTATTTGGTCGATCTAGATTAAAGGTTGGGTCCCCAGATGTTCTTGGACTACAACTCCCAGAATGCCTGGCTGGCACAGTGAGTGATGAAGGCTTCTGGATGTTTTAGTCCAGGAACATCTGGGGACCCCAGCTTGGGGAACCACTGACCTAGCCCTATGTTGTCAATTCATCCAACGCTTCACACTGGATTCTTTCCACAATTCTTCCCCAATTGTCTCCCATCCAAAGATCAACCTAGCCTGACTCGTGCTTAGCTTCTGAAACCATACAAGCACTTTTCAGATGCTTGGAAGTACACATGGGTGATTCGTATTCGTATCTCCAGGGATATGAATATGACCTGCGCCACGGCCCGATGAGATCCACTAGAACGGACTGGGCCAATCACCAGGCTCCACCAAACAGTGGGGCCCTTGGCCGTCATTGTGGCTCCCATCGTGGCAGGGGCCTGGGTGGCTTTGCCCTGCCTCCCCATGCAGCCGCCCGCTTTGTCAAGGAGGCGGGACGCGGAGTCTCCCCTACTCAGCTGATCGGCGCTCAGCTGCGCAGGGTGCCAGGGAAAGCCACCTGGATTCCTGGCGGGGCTGGTGCTATGACAAAAGGATCCCAGGGCCGCTTGGAGTGGTCCGACCAGTTCTGGGGGACAGAATTAGGCCAACCATGGATTGTAGTTGTATCCCCAGAGACACGAATATGAACAGCCCGTATCTACGTGAAAGGCTGTCCTACAGAGGAGTGGCAGGATCTGTTCTCGGTCATCCCAGAGCGCAGGACACGCAACAATGGGCTCAAGTTGCAGGAAGCCAGATTTAGGTTGAAGATAGGAAAAACTTCTTAGCTGTTAGAGCAGTGCGATAACGGAACCCATGACCTCCGGAGGTGGTGAGCGCTCCAAGGTTGGAATCCTTCAAGAGAAAATTGGGCAGCCATCTGTTAGATTTGCTTTGATCGGGATCCTTGCCTTGAGCAGAGGTTGGACTCAATGGCCTCTGCGGCCCCTTCCCACGTCACTCTTCGAAGACCCTATGACTACAACTCCTTGTATGCTCCTGCTGACGTGCTGTCGTCCCCAAAAAAGTAGCTTTGGCAATCCCGAAGCCCCTACACACAATCCTTTCCTGGGACCTCTTAGCTCACTTAAAATGAAAAAACAAAAAAACAAAAAACAACAAAAACAAAAAATAAAAACAATCTGAACAGAGCCTGGTAGCGTTTACCCGAATCTGGGTCTGAATTAGAGATGGGCGTGTAACATCACTTTGACGATTCGTGCAAATTCGTTTTTTGGCCAGACAGCTGTTTGCCACTTCTCAGCGCTGCGTCCTCCAGCGGACGCCCACTCGGGGGCCGCGTCATGGCTTCCCTGCCCTGCCTCCTCTGGGTGCTTCCTCTAAGTGGACGCCCACCAGAGGAGGCGGGGCTTTCAAGCACTAAACACCTGTTTGGCTGAAAAACGAACCGGCACGAACCACCGAATCGGCAGTTCAGGCCCATCTCTAGTCCGAATGGCTCTTTAAAAAGCCTCTTCTCTTTTAAGACGTCTCCGAAAATATTTAAGAAGCCCGGTTCCCTGCTGGAGCTGCCCTTCTTTAATCAGTCATGTCGTTTGCTTGTTCTGTTTGTCTGAGAGCGAACAGAAAGCTTCCAGCCGCTAAGATCTGCCTGGACATTCCCTCCTTC